AAATCTCCTCCTCAATCACCCCTCTAATTAGCCTTTGATTCATTTCACCAGATATGGAGTTGGGGATTTCTTCTAGCATACTTTTATCATAAACAGGATTAGTAGTCATGAACAGATTTCGATAGTGCCACTCCAGTTCCCCTACTAATTCCTGTTCACTACCACATTTCCTACCCATCCTGTTAACTATGCTATCCATATTTCCTACCAATCTCCTCTGTTGCACAGAAGCATGGAAGAACTTTATGTTCTTATCCCCTACTTTTAACCATTGAACCCTCAACTTTTGCTTCCAGTGACACTCCTCATCTAAGTAGGCTTTATGTAAAAGGTCCCCTATTTACACCACTCTTCCCATTTACTACCCACCCCTTGAACCTCCAGGTCAAACAAAGCCTTTTTACAAATCTCAATCATTCTAACAGAATTAGTGGTGTGTTTCTTTTTCCAGTGAAGTAAAGTCATCCTAACATTTTTAATTCTACCCTGAATATTATACAACTCAGGTCCACTCACATCTATATTCCAAGCTATATCAACAATTTCCATGAACCCTTCTAATTTAACCCACCTTTGGTCAAACACAAACCTTTTAGGCTTAGGTTTCAAGATACAATCAGCCTCCAAGAGAATCATACTGTGGTCAGATGAAATGAGAGAGACGTGCTTAACAAGTGCATTTAGAAAATTAGCCAACCATGGGCCAGAAAAAGGACTCTATCCAATTTTGCTTCAATAAATTCATTACCTTGTCTAAGATTAGACCAAGTGTAATGATGACCTTGAGTCTTAGTCTCACACATACCCATGTCTCTCACAAACTCTCTGAAAGGAACAAAACTGCTCTCACTTCTAGTGATACCCCCTACTTTATCATGCTCAGATAATATATCATTAAAATCCCCTCTTAAAAACCGAAAATCCTCCCATCCCCTTTTAAGACTTTTAAGAAACTCCCATTGAGAATATCTGATATGAGGGTCTGTACTAGAGTACACAAAAATTCCCCACTGGACAAAATGGGTGCCAGACAGGCAAAATTTAATCCCCACACAAAAGTCCAAGCAAAACATGTCCAAAATATTAACTCTACTAGACCAGCAGAGTAAAAGAACCCTCCCCC